AGCGTGGCTCTGCGGACCGCAGCTCACAGCCTTCAGGACCCGGGAGGGGACCCTCACCCACGCTCGTGCCAGCACCCTCAGCCGGAGGAGCATCCCGCTGAGACTGGCACTTCCCGTGGGTTTGCTGCCTGGCGGACTGCTTAACAGCTTTCACTCAAACAGCAGCCACATTGTCAAAGGTTCCTATTCGAGCGCTGATGGAAGAGGCCCGGGGGAGCTGCGGGGGAGCAGCCGGGAGCGGAGACATGGCCCTGCCCGTGCCCCGAAGCCGGGGAGCGGGACGGGGACACCCACGGAGGCCAGCTGCCTCCGGCGCCCATGCACAGACTCCGTCTCTGCCCCGGCGGCAGCCTTGCACCGCGTCCCTCCCGCGTCCCTCTCCAGCGTTACCGTCACTGCGTCCAGCGAGGATGCTTTAATCTCCAGCTCGGTTTTTTCCCTTTCTTTCTCCTGTCTGAGCTGCCTCAAGGCCTGGTCTCTGGGGGACACAAGACTGAGCTTAAAAAAACACCCCCAGGCCCATGGAGCCCCTTCAACCCCAAGACTTGGCCCTGCCAGGTCCGAATCGGGGGCACTAACCCCCCTCCCCAGCACAGAGCGCCCCACGCTGCAGACTCGCTCGGGGCGAAGGAGAGCCTCGCACCCAAGGGCCCCTGCACACCTCGTCCCCAGCCCACGGGGGCCTCTTTCCCCCTCTCAGTGCTTGCACCCGTTGCAAGATACTCAGCGCTGGACTCCCTCGAGGGCAACCTCAAGGGAAGCGTTTGGGGCACTTTAGCCCCTCCACACGCCTCCCAGACCGTCGCAGCCACTGCTGCACCTCCAAGCAGCCAGTTTTGTGCTGCGCATCCCTTACTCCGGCCCGTTGGACCCTGTCAGGCCTTACTTCTCGGCCAGCTGCTGCTCCAGGGTTGTAACGAGTTGTTCCAGCCTCTGCTTCTCGGAGCTGCACTCTGCGTGCTGCCACCAGCCACAGGAGGGAGGTTATTGCCAGCGGTACCTGCTTCCGAACAGGCTGCCCTGTCCTCAGCCGGGCTCCCCCACCAAAGCTCCGTCTCTTGCCTCCAAAGCGTTGCTGACCCTGGGCTGTCTCCGTTGCCCCGTGGCTAAACGCTACTGCCCTGTTAATCTGGTCCTGGCCTGGGCTAGCTGATGTCTCCAGTGTGCTCAAAACCAGGCCAGGGGAACGGGGAGAGAGCCCTGCTCTCGGCTGGGCATGGGTCCAGCCCGCGTGGGCTGGGGACACCCTAAGGGGCTGCAAGGACTCCTCTGCCAGCAGAGAGGGAAGCAGGGGGTGGACATATGGGGTGACCTTGTGGGCACCGGACAAATCGTTTCCATGCCTCTCCCATCTACTGCACCCTGCGTCTGTGGTGACCACAGTAGGGCTGGGACAGGTTTCTCCCCACGTGCAGTGCCGAGTGCGGTGCGGGCAGCTCCCTGGGGGACCTCGAGGCCCTGGCACCTGCTGGGACGCAGGTGTCATACCTGGTGTCTGGCCTGCTCCAGCTTCAGGTGCTGCTGCTCCAGCTCCATGTCCCGCGTTTTCAGCATGTGCCAGACTTTCTGGAGCTCTTCCCGCACCAGAGCTAGCTCAGCGTCAGCTTGCCCTAGTGAGGCCTGGGCCAGGAGGGGCACAGGGTTGACGCTGGGACAGCAGCCAGCGCACAGCCCATCTCCAGCTGAGTCTGTCCAGCTCATCACAGGCTCAGCCAACACAACACAGAGACCTCAGCTGATAGTGGGTGTCTTGCCCATTCCCTAGCCAGCCAGCACCCAAGGGTGCTTTCAGACCATGAGACCAAATCTTGGCTCCTCAGGGATGCATCCCCAGAGCCTGCGAGATGCTCCCCAACACCCTGCAAAGCCCTGATGCCTGGACTGTGCAGTGAGATCCCTGGTGACCTACGAGGGCTCGTGCGAGACGTAGCCCGCCTCCCGGGGTCCTCGGGAGGGAGCAGAGCACCATGCTCTCTCCGCCTGAAAGTGCGGAGAGCGTGGAACAGACAAGGTCCTTGCTGCCTTTTATCAGCCCTGATAGCTGCATCCTCTAAATGAGCGTGGGTAAACGGGGGCAGATGCTGCGGTATGCGAGAGAGTGAGAGCCAACGCCGCTGTGTACGCGGGGGTACCCCAAACCTACTGCTCTGCTAGCAGTCTCCACGTCTCTGTTGCCACGTCCCCGCCAGGAAGGAAGGGTGGCCAGGGAAACCCGCAGGGATGACGGCTGGGTAACAGGGCTCGCCCGTCGGCACCCCAGGCTAGCACATGGCGGTGGCACCCAGCCCCTCTCACCTGGATTTCTCCAGCTTTCTTCTGCTTCAGCTCCTCCAGCTCCTAGGACCAAGCGGGCAGTGTGAGAGTTGGGGCCACCACCGACCTCCTCCCTGCCTCTCTCCGTCCAGAGGACACGCACCAGCTCCCAGAGGGTGTCCAGCCTTTCCAGAAAGGCCTGTATTCACCCCAGCTATGCCCCGAGTTACCCCCTGAGGAAGAAGAAGGAGAGCTGGGGGGAGCAAGGCTAGGACAGGTCTCGTTGGGGTTCAGCTCCCTTCAGGTCCATGCAGGGCACCCTTGCTTTGCCTCCTCCAGGGCTGCCCCAGGGTGAGGCTTTTTGGGGCCCCAAGTGCCCATTTCCCCCCAGCACCCGCAAAGAGAGCCGGATCTGCATGGCAAAGGCAGCAAGGGAGCCAAAGCCTCCTTCCCCGCACGGCCTGGGGGCAGGAGCTGCTGACTGAGCCATGCACAAGAAATGATAAGGAGAGCAGTGAGGGAGGCGGAGGGGGGGAGGACAAGGAAGGAAAAAAGAGCACCACCCCAGACACAGAAAGTCCATCTTGAGATAAGGGAGGAGATACAGCGCAGCCTGGGTGGAAGAAACGAGGGGTGCGGAAGCAGGCGCGGGAGGCATTTGGGGCTAGGTGCAATCCCACTAGTGCCTTTGTCCTTTCTTTCTTCCTTTTTGGAACTCTGCTGCACTGTTGCAGACGTAGGTTTGGAGGGTGTGCGCGTCCTCATAAATCCTCCCTAGAGCTTGAATGATCTGATACACAACACGTTCCCACCCAGGGCCAGTTTTAAAACCCAGAGCATCTCGGCAGGCCTCTAGGTCCATGGTGCACTTCTCCCAAGGCAGCTGAAGGGTCACGGCCATCTAACGTGGTTCAGCTGGGTCGTGCCCCGGACGCTGTCTCCCTGAAGGGACTCCAATAACCCTTTCTGGACGTACCGCTCTCAAAGTCTGCACCAGCTCTTCCTTCTCCTGGCGGGCAGTGATCTCTCTTTGCAGCTCTCGCCGTAGCCTCTCCACCTCGGACAGACGCCCGGGAGGCACGAAGTCCGCAGGAGCCTCCTCCAACGGCTCTCTCGGAGGGCCTGAGCCCTGAGGGCTGCATTGCACAGATTGGAGAGGGCTGAGCCTCTCCTGCGCGGGGGATGCAACACTGCTGCCGGCCCTGCCGTGTGAGGAGGAGATGCTCAGCAGCGGCAACCCTGTGGTCCTCAGACGTCCTTGCATCCATCCGCTCCCCGCTCCCACTGCAGCAGGCAGAGCCGGGTAGCGGCTCTCAGGCAGCAGAGGTTCCTGACCCGTGCCACGAGACCCACCTTGCCAGGGAAGCCACAGGATGACCCTGTTGTAGGCCAGGGCTTGTAACGTCGCTGGATCTTGCTGGGACCTCAGTCTGCTAGAAAATGCATGTATAAGACCTTGTTAGATATGTTCCTCCTGCATATAGGCCACATACCTCCTCCTCTCTCCTGGACTGCCCAGACCTAGAGCTCTGCAGCAGCAGCTCAGGACGTGCTGGTGCATCTCCAGCATCCTCCTCGCCTAACCTCTGGGCACTGCAGAGTTTCACCAGCATTAACACAAGTTTCTGGATGGGGAAACTGAGGCATGCAGACTGTGACATGTCCAAGGTCTAAGAACAAGTCAGTGGCAAAGTGGAGAGGAGGCTTCTAGCTTTTTTAGGGAAGCAATGGCACATCTAAAGGCCCAGAGGGAGGTGCCAGGCCAAGCCTGGTAGCCCGTCCTTCCCGTGCGGGCTCACCTGCCGCTGCTCTCCCGGCCGGCATTGCAGGTCTTCCCCGTGGCCCTGCAAAGCCTCCTCCAGATCGGAGCCATGCAGCCGCAGCACCCGCATTTCCCTCTGCTCCAAAGCCAGCAACTCCCTGTGAACAGCACCATCCTGGCAAGCCCGGAGAGACACCCCCAGCATCTCCTAGACCTTTCTGCAACCTCCTGGTCTTTCCTGCTCATCTATTTCCTGCTGGCACAAAATCCTCCTCCCCTGCAGTGCCAGCCCCTGCCTCTGAAAGTGCATCACAGCCCTCTCCTCTCCTGCTAGTCTTGGCCCCGGAGCTCCTGCCACAGAGCGTGTGCGTACCCAGCTCTCCGGACTGGCTGGTGTGTGGGTGCACGTACCCAGCCCCGCATGCGAAGGCAGTGCCAGCACAGAGGGCTCCTCTGATCGAAACACCCCAGGGCTCCCATGCCTCGGTCCCCAGGACATCACCTGCCTGCTGGCAGCTCCGGCTGGAGGTCCCCAGCCCCCCCCCCCCCCCCCGGCGGGCGCCCCAGCCACTGCGAGAGCTCCTCCGCTCGCTGATGACGCTGCTCCTTCTCCTGAAAACCAGGCGAGCCGGTGGCATCCCCTTCCTCCCTGTCGTGCCATCCCCAGCAGGGACCTCTAGGTGCCTCACCCCCAGCACCCAGCACCCAGCCCACGGGGTCGATCCCCTGCACGCCCTCTGCTCGCCTCGCACTACCTTGGGGAGTCTCGCGCTGTCGCTCGAGGCTGGATCTGGCTTTGCGCCGAGCTCAGACCCCCTCCGCTCCAGCCAGGCCACCTCGCGGGAGAGCTGCTCCCTCTCCTAGCAGGGCCAGGAGAGGAGGGACAGGGTGGTTTGCCGGGTGCCAGCAGGTGCATCAGGGTCAAGAGACTGAGGAGCTACCTGCGTCCCCGCCTGGGTTGGCTGTCACCCTCTGCCCATCTGTTCCCCACCCCAACGTCCCGTCCTCCAGTGCCAGCGTGAGCAGGGGAAGGCCCAACGTCCCGTCCTCCAGTGCCAGCGTGAGCAGGGGAAGGGCTCACATCAGCCTGCCTTGGCTGGTCGCAGGTTTCGATCAAGTCTCGTAGATAATTTTGGATGAGGAATTTTTTTTTTTCCAGAGCTAGCATTTCAAGGAACCCGAGCCTGTTTAATGCTTCATTTTCATAATGAAACATTTCCATTTCCAACGTCAAAAAAAATGCAGGAAAATGGACCTGGATCTGCCCCACTGACAGCGAAACTCCTCCACTGCTTGTGTAATTCAAGGAGACTTTGGCGGCCTCTTGCACCCTGCCGATGGGCTCGTGCAGGGCTTGGTTGGCCTGCAGCAGGCCCGTGACCCGCCAGCCATCCGCGCCACGCTGGTGGCGAGCCAGGCGCCAGCCCTGCGACGCGAAGGAAAGGGCCGGCTGTGATTTCACCATGGCAGGGACACTGCCAGGGAAGACACTCACAATTGCCGCCCAGCCAAGGTTAGCAGGAGTCGCCACCACCAGGAGGTCTCCTGCTGGCAGCATCAGCGCTGGAGATTCCCTCGTGTGAGGGTGATGGTCACCCTGCAGAGGTGCCGCGAGCGAACACATGGCACAGCATCCCTCTTCAGGGTTATTTTGGGGATGAGGTGGAAGGAGGAAAGGAGCAGACCCAGCTGGGCTTCTCTGGGTTGGACGCTCACAGAACAGTCTTTTGTATGACGGTCGAGCTTGCGGCAATGAGCGCTACAGACAAAAGCTGAACTATGGGACCCAAGTGTGAACTGAAGACCCTGAAACTCCAACCCAAATAAAAGAAAGCAGATAGGATTTTTGTTTCCATCCTGATTTTTAAGGCAAGGGACAAACTTGGACCACCTTGCAAGCCAAAGAAAGGCCCAGAGCCGCGAAGAGAATTAACCCTCCTCACCCCTCTGGCTCCATGTGATCTCAACGGGAATCGAACACCAAAATACTTTTTGTGGGGTGGCTCGAAACCTACTGCAGCCACAGCCACCAGCTCCTGCCACCTCCCAGGCAGACAGTACGCACTGGTGCAGGATGCGACTGTGGGACCTCCCTGGAGCGACCGAAGAGGAGCAACTCCCCAGGCAACATGGTTTTGGGAGTCACTCTGCTTGGCAGGGATGACGGCTGGTCAGGGATTGTCCCTGCCAATGCTGTCCTGCAGGGGTGTCTCCTAGGCAAGGAGGTGGTAGGGGGTCCCTCTGCCCTGCTCTGCAGCCCACAGTGACTCACACATGGGGTCAAAGAGCCCGAGAGGAGGCAAGAGCAGAGCATCCACCCCTTGCCATGAGGGAACAGGGCCCTTCTGGTGCCCTTCTCCTTGCCATGCCTTCTCTGAGATGGGAAACACCTCCTCTTCCCAACGCTTCCCTTACCCCTGCTGCCATCTGGCTGGGATCCGACAAGCCCAGGCAACAGCTCATCCCGCGCAGGTCTGTGTTGGCTCTTGCCACCTCCAGCTCCAGGCCAAGGATCCTGGCAGGACACATTCATGCTCATGTAGGCAGCCACGTAGTGACCATGAGAGAGCAGAGACCCTGCACTGCCTCTGCAGGCTGCTCTGCCCTCGTATCGCGGGCTGGTTTCCCCAGCACCATCCCAAATGCCCTTCTGGCCATTCCCTCCCCTGCCTGTACACGGCTGGCCCTTTGCTCTGGGTTACCGGGACATGCCCCACCTGCCCCGGTTGCACAGTAAAATGTGTAACCCCAACACGCAGGATCTTGTGGCCAGGACAGGGGTTAATTTGGTGATGCTGAGCTGGAGGTGAGAGGTACCAGCCGGAGAAGGCAGTTTCCAGGGAGGGTGCTTTCACCCAGCAACTCTTCACACTGACTGCCAAGTAGGCAGTAGATGGGCTCAACGCTTAGGCTGCCCCGGCCAGACTGGAACGGGATGGTGAGCAGCGCTCCTGGCCTCGAGCCCGCAGTCGGGGTAGTGATTGGGGCTATCTGGTCCAGAGCCAGGACCCGCAGGTGCTGATGGGGTTTTCAGAAGCACCAAAGGCAGAAAAGACCTGACTCCCAATCAAAGTCGGTGCCTAAACCTTTGGCTCCTATGAAACCCCCTGTCCAGCACCGCTGAGAAGCAGTGACCCCAGGCCTGAGCAGAGTGCTCCAGGCATGCAGGTGGCCCTTGCCTTGCTCAGTCTCTCTGGACGGCCTACAGGCCCTTGCTCCAGGTCGCCACTCACCTATCATGCATATCCCCCTTTTGCTCCTGGTCCTCACGGCGAGACAGCTCCAGCCACTTTTTCTCCCTCTCTAGGTGGGCCTGCATGTTCTGCATCTGCCACAGGAGATACGGCAGTAAGGACCAACAGAGTTTTCTCCCTCAGGAAAGAGGACAGTCAGCTGTTTGGGAATTGGTCTCTAAAGGAGGGACATCCTCACGAGTGAGTCTCCCCTACAAGCACAAGGCTAGCCAGGCTGCTGGGCTAAATCGGAAGACCTCAAGCTGGGCACATCTGATCCTGAGCCCTATGAAAGGGATGGCACAAAACCAGCCAGCACTTCATTCCCCTCTTGGCCCCACATGGGGAGGGTAGATGTCTCTTAAGAGATAGCCCCAAGGACTCCCATTTCTCAGCAGCCTTCTCTGCCTTCCTGGCTTTAGAGGGATGCCCACATACCTTTAGCTTGAGGGACAGCAGCTCAGACTTCACCCTGCTGAGATCCACCTCCTGGTCCCCCTCCACCAGCTCTTCCTTCTGCCTCCCCAGCACCTGCGAAGGCTCTCGCAGAGAAGTCGCCAGCTCAGCTCGCAGATCCAGCACAAATCCACCCTGCACCCTTTGATCCAGGGGCTGTGGGACACCGTCTCCTTCCGTGCCCCACTCGGGCAGATGGGATAGCGAATGTCTCCTCCCCACGGACAGGCTCACGTGATCCTCAGCATGGTCTGAGCTGTTGGCACAAAAGCTACCATGAAAAGGAGATCCTGGGTTTCTGTTTGCAATAAGGACCTGAGAAATCAGAGCCCCTGTATGGCTAATGGAGGCCATAGGACTGACCACGGTATTCCCCATCCACCTCCAGAGCTCCTGGCCGCTTTTGCCTGTTAAATAGGTTCTGGGTGGCCTTTGAAGACACCAAAGAGATAGTTACAGGCAACAGAGACTGGTATGGCCATGGGTCCCATTTGGGCACTATGAGCCCCAGGATCTGGCGGGTACCTCCAGCCTCCCTCCCCTTTTGGGAGCTGCTTTCAGCCATGCCCAGAGCGTGGGATGTCGGGAGGGGAGGGTGGCT